TGCCCTTCCTTGCGCTGTCGATGCAAAATTCTTTCATTTTGATACACTTTTAGTACAACCTTTTGAGTTTTAGTGCCTGAAATTATTCAAGAAGCTTTGACTTGCCTCACTAGACGTGGTTAGCTTAAGCCGCAATCTCATATAGGCCGAATTTTATTTAAGAACTCAAGGCCTGCTGAAAGTAAACTATTAGCGACAATTATCCAAGTGTCTCTTTGTGATAAATAAGATTTGTCCTATCTTTTCTCGTTTGACATTGTTAATGCCGAGATAAAATAATATGTTAACAAGCTTTTTCTAACCATATTTGTCATCGCCTAAAATGTTTTTGCTACACCAACCGGGTAATAATCTTGGCTTTTAACTCTTATAAGATATTTTTAAGCAGCTAATATTGCTATATATATGGCTATATTCGCACAAAAATTTTTGAAAATACACTATTCGTATTGCTCATTTTAATAATATTTATATCAAATATGTTCGGTATTCTCAATTATTTATCAAAACAATAATGTCTATCATAAGCTCTGCCTATTGCAAATGAATGTTTGTGGCTTCAACAATCATTTAGACTCAGTTTTCAGAAATCTATTGGTATTTGATGGTAATGTTATTCTTCCGCATCTACTTATTTACAAGCTATATTCACCCAATTTCGTTTAAGATGATGAAGGACTGGTAGAAGAAGAATTTTCCCAAAATTATATGAGTTGAGCTGACGTTTCCATTGAATTTTACATAGTCTTGCTTTCCCAAAAGTTGTTCTCATCCAGGCACAAGTGGACTACAGTTTCGAACTCGCATCGCGACAGTGCAGGATGGGAGCTTGACATGCTAACCACTCGGCTACACTGCCACGAGCGCCTTTTGGGTCACGGGGAAAATGTGAATTTTCAAGAGAGGCCTGGCTTTTTGCCATATCATATTCTTTGGTGGGATTGTCAATGAAGCAAACTTATGTTTTGCTATAACAATCGACTACTATACTTTGTTTTTCGAATTCAGTATTGCTTTCGTGACTACCAGTAAATCAGTAATATGACATATATTCACCCAATTTCGTTTAAAGTGAAGAACGACTGGTAGAAGAAGAATTTTCCCACAATGATATGAGTTGAGCTGACGTTTCTATTGAATTTCACATAGC